CTCCCCCAGCAAATGTCCAGTATTCAACACAGTATTATTAACTATAGTCATCATGCTAAGCATTAGATCTCTAGACTTATTCACCCTATTAACTACAACTTTGTATCCTTTGACAAATATCCTCCCATTTCCCCCACCTCCCCACCCCAGGTAACCACCTATCTACTGCTTCCATGTATTCCATTTTTTTAGATTCCACATAAAATCTGAGATCATGCAGTATTTTTCTTTCTTTGTCTAGCTCATTTCATTCTGCATACTGTCCTCCAGGTCCATCATGGTGCTGCAAATGGCAGGATTTCCTTCTCTTTCAAGGCTGAATAATAGCACAATAGTATACAGCACCCTAAGCACACACTGTGGAAAATTTTGAAAGAGATGGGAATACCAGACCACCTGACCTGTCTCTTGAGAAACCTGTATGCAGGTCAGGAAGCAACAGTTAGAACTGGACATGGAACAACAGACTGGTTCCCAATAGGAAAAGGAGTACGTCAAGGCTGTATATTGTCACCCGGCTTATTTAACTTATATGCAGAGTACATCATGAGAAACGCTGGGCTGGAAGAAGCACAAGCTGGAATCAAGATTGCCAGGAGAAATATCAATAATCTCAGATATGCAGATGATACCACCCTTATGGCAGAGAGTGAAGAGGAACTAAAAAGCCTCTTGATGAAAGTGAAAGAGGAGAGCGGAAAAGTTGGCTTAAAGCTTAACATTCAGAAAACTAAGATCATGGCATCTTGTCCCATCAACTCATGGGAAACAGATGGGGAGACAGTGGAAACAGTGTCAGACTTCATTTTTTGGGGGTCCAAAATCACTGCGGATGGTGACTGCAGCCATGAAATTAACAGACGCTTTCTCCTTGGAAGGAAAGTTATGACCAACCTAGATAGCATATTAAAAAGCAGAGACATTACTTTGCCAACAAAGGTCCATCTGGTCAAGACTATGGTTTTTCCAGTGGTCCTGTATGGATGTGAGAGTTGGACTGTGAAGAAAGCTGAGCACCGAAAAATTGATGCTTTTGAACTGTGGTGTTGGAGAAGACTCTTTGAGAGTCCCTTGGACTGCAAGGAGATCCAGCCAGTCCATCCTCAAGGAGATCAGTCCTGGGTGTTCATTGGAAGGACTTATGCTGAAGCTGAAACTCCAGTACTTTGACCACCTCATGCAAAGAGCTGACTCATTGGAAAAGACCCTGATGCTGGGAGGGATTGGGGGCAGGAGGAGAAGGGGACGACAGAGGATGAGATGGCTGGATGGCATCACCGACTCGACGGGCATGAGTTTGAGTAAACTCCGGGAGTTGGTGATGGACAGGGAGGCCTGGCGTGCTGCGATTCATGGGGTCGCAAAGAGTCGGACACGACTGAGCGACTGAATTGAACTGAACTGAACTGAAGCACACAAAAGAACACTATCTACCTCCCAAAAGCACACATATACCCAACGAATAGGTAGAATTATAAGACCAAATGTTAAATATCTAGAGTGGGTGAGATGGTGTCTTGGGGAGAGAAGAAAGTGGGGAGGAGGGAATGAAAGTAAAGGGGGAAATAACAAAAAAAAAAAAAAATGAAAAGCTATTAAAAGACTTGATAAACAGACTGTGCAAATATTAGAAATTTCACTAATTCACTCCACAAACATTTATGCACTTATTACTTGCCAGGTACTATTCCAGGCACTATTTATTGAACAGCAAATCAAAAACGGGCAGTCCAATCTTATAGTTTATAAGGTGTACAGAAGACAGAAATATTTAAAATACCCCAGTAAAAGATTATGGACAGTGAATGAGTGTCATTAAAAAAGTCAGGTGACATGAGAAGGAGGGACCCACTTTAGATTAGGTGGTCTGTGAACATCTCTGAGGAAGTGACATTTACTCAGGTGACGACTGCTTCCTTCGCAGCTAGGGAAGAGAAAGGGAGTATTCATGTCAGGCAAACGGAACAGCATGTGCAAGGGCCTGGAGGGAGTATGGATCATCCCATGGAGGAAGTGAAAGAAGACCAGTGTAACGGAAGAAAGGAGCAGCAGGAAATGTGGTTAAAGAGATGGGGTGGGGAAGGGAGGATACAGCAGACTCACAGCCCGATATAAAGAATTTGGATTTTATTTTATTCTAACTGCAAAGAAACTATGAAAACTTTTTTTTTTGGCGGGGGGCGGTGCTGAGTTGTGAGGTTTACGGGATCTTAGTTCCCTGAGGAGGGATTGAACCCAGTTCCTCAGAAAGGGAAACAGGAAGTCCTAATCACTGGACCACTAGGGAATTCCCAGTGAAAATATTTTAAACAGGGAAATGACATGATCTTGTTTCCAACTTATTTCACTCTAACATTTAGCACCCTTGCAATATGCTCACATATTTTTGCAAACTTGCAAAAGAAATATTTTGCAGTCTTTTTCTTCAAGGACCCCCAGAAGCTGCACAGAATTCAGGTCCCATGTAACACAACTTTGCCTGAATGGGGTAAGTGCAACATTAGAGAGCATTCCCAAGTGCCAGGGAGTCACAGAGAAACAACCTTGCCAACTTAGTGCCAAGAGTTCTTTAACGTCAATGGACTTTTCTCTTTAGTTTACACTTTATGATAATGTGCCAAATCATGCCCTGATCTACTGAGAGAAACATGAGTACATCAGCTTTGCTTGAAAAAGGGGAAAGATGTATTAATAGATGTGTACAGCTTTCCCCCCATGAGAGGCAGGAAATGTAGGGGAACAGTCCCTGTTTGTCTCAGGCAGCCTACACAAAGATGCCTCCTATTGTAACACAGCAATGAGTCATGGAAGTAGATGCAGATGGCACAGAAAACTGAGTAAGGGAGAGTCGGTTATCCAGAAGCTAAGGCACCTTATTTATCTACCACCACGACTGGAAATTACCTTCAAGTTTCCCTTGGCATTCTCTACCCAGTAACAAAGGTACCAGCAGCTAACACTGGCGGAAGATTTACTACTATTAGCTCATTTAGTCTTCACAACTCTAAATAGATCTACCATTAGACCCATTTTCACAGATGAAAAAACTAAACCTAAGCCCTGGAGAGACCTGACCCAGATCACAAAACCACAAACTTAGCCTGACTCCAGAGTCCAACCTTTTACCCACTGCTTAGAATCTTCCAGTCCCACCAAATATATCTGCCACCAACTCCAGGATAGTTTTTTTTCTTTTTTTCTTCCCTCTCCCCTTTGTAAGAACACAGTCACAGTTGTAAGAACTTTGTAAGTCCTTTGTAAGTTCTCACAGTCACTTTGTAAGAACACCGGGGTCACAATTAACAACAGGATGACTACAGGTAATTTCACTCACTGCTGCTGCTTAGTCGCTTCAGTTGAGTCTGACTCTGGGACCCCATGGACTATAGCCCTCCAGGCGCCTCTGTCCATGGGATTCCCAGGCAAGAATACTGGAGTGAGCTGCCTTGCCCTCCTCCAGAGGATATTCCCGACCCAAGGGATCGAACCTACATCTCTTTGGTCTCCTGAATTGGCAGGTGAGGTTCTTTACCATTAGTGCCACTTGGGAAGCTCCACTTTCACTCACTACCTTCTTCCAAAACCAATGGGAGCACCATGGTCAGGACACAACAGTCAGTCAGAGTCCACTGTGGTCAAAACTTGTCCTGTCCCACCCTGCTCTGGTGGGGGTTGGGGAGTGATTTCAGTCTATTTCAAGGGGATTAAATTCTGTACACTAAACTTGCATCAATGTTTTTAGAGTTATCTACCAACCTGGACAAGTTAATATCATGCAAAATGGACACTTCAGTATCGAAACAAGTTTGTCTGAGGAATGTGGTTGAGCTCACATCACAGGTCTGTCCACCACTGCCTTGTGATCATTATAGGGATGGACAGAGCCACCAAACCAACAGGTCCCCAGGCTACTAAAATTGAGAAGAGACAAACAAAGGTTACAGAAATCACCACAGGGCAGTAGGTCGAGGCCTAATCTGTTCTTTTCATCAGCTGGTTTCCTAAAGTTTCCAGGGTTGCAGGTAAGAGATTAAGAACTCTTTTTTTTTTTTTTGATTAAGAACTCTTATTAATCTTTTCTGTTCACTTCTCCAGCTCGCCAGATCTTTCTCCTTCACACAGTCCTGTCCCTTACCTAGGATGCAAAAGAGTTGTGGGAACTCAGAAACATCCATGAAACAGACTCATCACTGTTTAAAGAAGTAAACTGCTGGTTTGTGATGAACACTGGAAGTTGCAGAGATGGAGCACCTCGTGTGTGATTTCCAAGAACATGGTGTTACGTCTCAGGTCCAAAATTGGGCTCATGGTCAATTAAAGCAGCCCAGGAGAGACACGGATGAGATCTGGTGAATGAATGAAAAGTCAGATGAAGAAAAGCAAAGCAGCTCCCTTCAAAACAAGAGTCTCCAGGAAGAAGGCCAAGGAATGGGAGCCCCAAAGTCGACAAGTAAAAAGCCTTGGGGGTGTTGGTGTACACACGTCCTCGCTGGCCAGGCAGCGGCCGCGACTAGCCACTCCCAGCCCACAGGTGTCAAGCACGAAGGTGAGGACTGCTCGCCGGTCCCAACTCCACATTCTACACCCTGAGTTGATCTCAAGACGCTGACGCGATCTTAATTTTTCCAAAACATCGGCTCCCTTCTCCCAGTTACACACCAGAATCCCAGAGAATCTAGGAGAAAGAGCTGGGGAGAGGTGGGCGATGAACAAGTTTTTATTTTTTAGGGAGAGGGAAAATGACCAGAGGTCAGGGATGACTGAAAGGGTCGGTAAAGGGTTGGGGATGGGGCATCGCTACTCGGGTGCACCGACTGGTCTGAGTCAGGAGCACAATCAGTGCTTAGTCACCGATACCTCGGCGGCCGGGAGTTCCTCGCGCCCAGCGGCCCGAGACGTACGTGATGACCCGAGCAGAGCCCCGCGCGAGGCGCACACCCGACTCGGCTTCTGCATCCCGGCCCGGGCCACCCCGGCCCGCCCCCGACCCCAAGACTTACTCCGCCGAGCTGGTCCCGTTAACCGCGGAGCCGTCCGGGGCCGGGTTCAGCTGGATGGGCGTCGGCTTCTTCTTGGGCATTTTGGACCCAGGAAAGGCGCTCCCAACTCCGAGGGCGGCCCCTCTAGCTTCCTCCCTCTGAGCTGCCCCGCGCCGGCCTCGCGGGGCCAAGTCAGGGCCGCAAGCCCGGACGCTGCCTTCGGGGGGCGCGCCCTGCGCGGTCCCGTCAGGGCCAAAGAGCCAGTGGCCGTCTGGGGGAACCCCCGGCCCACTTGCTCAATGCACAGGGAACCGAAGGGTTTCCCCGCCGGCGCAGCTCAGCAGCCCGGGATTCCCTCCGGCTCTCCCTCAGTCAACCGGTCCCCCGGCGCGCGCACCACAACGCTGCTCCAGCCACAGCCCGGGAAAGTGCGCCGCCGCCACTGCCGCGTTCCAAGCGGCTCAGCGCAGCAGTCCCAGAGAGGGACTGGAGGGCGGGGGAGGGCTGGGGGGAGGGCTGGGGACAGGGGAAGCCTCGCCCCCCCAATTCCAGGAGGCTGCGTTTTCCACACGCCCACCTGGGCCCGCCCCTATTGCCCCTCACAGCCAATGAGAGAACGCCTCGGCGGCAGATGACGCGGAAATACGTCACGGGGCGCGGCGCGCGGCCCTGGGGGCGGGGTCTGTCCCTGGCTCCACAGCGCCCTCTGCCGCCTAGGGACTCCCAGGTGGACCTACCGGGAAAGGAGGTCTTGCATCCTTGGCTCCCATAGCTAGTCGAGGTGAGCTTGATCCGGTAGGTCGCCACGCGGTCTCCTCCTCTACGGTGACTGTAGCCCCAGGGCCGAGTCACAGTGATAGAGCTAAAGTAATAAAATGAATAAAGAAAAAGACCTCTTCCTGTTTCTAGAGGCAGCTTTGGGGAATAGACGACTTGTCAAGAGACTCCTGTGTAGCAAATTGGCAAGTAGAAAGTTACATGCAAAGCGGTAATACACACTAGTAGCCTGCTGACAAGGGTACCGGGAAATGAGTATTCAGTGCGCGTGAGACTTTTTTTGTTTGTTTGTTTTGTAAATAAGTTTATTTGTATCATTTTTTAGATTCCACATGTAAATCATATTTGTCTTTCTCTGTTTGACTTACTTGCTGCTGCTAAGTCACTTAAATAGTGTCCAACTCTGTGCGACACCATAAACGGCAGCCCACCAGGCTCCGCCGTCCCTGGGATTCTCCAGGCAAGAACCCTGGAGTGGGTTGCCATCTCCTTCTCCACGCATGAGACTTTAAATTGGGGTGTTTCTGAGAGCAGATTGGGAATATATTTTTAAAACCTTTTGAAAAAACTCCTTTCAACCAATAATTCCAGTTCTCTAAAACTTGAAGAAGAAAAATGTGAATAAAGAGCTTAATACGATGAAGATGATTTGTATGATTCAAAATACACATTCAGTTCACCTCTTCAGTCCTAAAGCATTAGGTGTGCAAAACAATGTAAGCATCTACACCCGGTGGTCCAGAGCAGCCTGTCAGCACCTAGCCATTTATAATATGTAAAGGATAAAGTTTCGTTTTCATTTTTTAGCCATTCATGCTGTTTGAATTTTTTATTATGTATATAATTTATTCAATTTAAAACATATTTTATAAATTGTTTAAAGATTAACACGAGAATGTAAAATTGTGCAGATATTTTGGAAAACAGTCTGCCAGTTCTTCAGTTAAATATAGTTAGCATATGACCCAGCAGTTCCTGTGTGCAGCAGTTCCTATGACACAGCACTCCTATGTGCTCAAGAGAAGTGAAAACATAATATCCATACAAAACTTGTACACAAATTTTCATGCAAATGTATGGCAGCATTATTCATAATAGTCAAAAAATGGAGACAACCCAAATGTCCATCAACAGATAAACAAAATGTGGCACATCCATGCAATGGAATGTAACTTGCCCATAAAAAGGAATGAAGTGCTGATCTGTGCTATAGCATTCATGAACTTTGGAAACATCATGCTAAGTGAAAGAAGCCAACCACAAAACCCCACATATTTTGTTATTTCATTTAGTGAAATGTCCAGAATAAGCAACTTTATAGAGACAGAAAGTAGATTAGTGATTGTTTAGGATTTGGTGGGAAAGCTGAGCAAGAAACAGTAGAATGACAGCTAAGGGGTAAAAGGTCTCCAAAAACTGATATCTTGGCATCCAGTCCCATCACTTCATGGCAAATAGATGAGCAAAAAGTAGAAGCAGTGACAGATTTTATTTTGGCCTCCAAAATCACTGCGGATGGCAACTGTAGCCATAAAATTAAAGGATACTAGCTCCTTGGAAGAAAAGCTATGACAAACCTGGATAGCATATTAAAAAGCAGAGACATCACTTTGTCAATATAGGCTCATATAGTCAAAGCTTTGGTTTTTCCAGTAGTCAGGTACAGATGGAAGATTTGGACCATAAGGAAGGCCGAATTCCAAAGCCTTGATGTGTTTGAACTGTGGTGTTGGAGAAGACTCTTGAGAGTCCTTTGGACTGCAGGGAGATCAAACCAGTCAGTACGAAAGGAAATCAGTCCTGAATATTCATTAGAAAGACTGTTGCTGAAGCTCCAATACTTTGGTCACCTGATACAAAGAGCCACCTCATTGGAAAACATCCTGATGCTGGGAAAGATTGAGGGCAGGAGAAGGGGGCAGCAGAGGATGAGATGGTTAGATAGCATCATTGACTCAATGGACATGAATTTGAGCAAATTCTGGGATATAGTGAAGGACAGAAGAGCCTGGCATACTGCAGTCTACGAGGTCACAGAGTCAGACATGACTTAGTGACTGAACAACACCAACACCATGCAATGATATGAATGAATCTCATTAACATCCTGTTGGGTAAAAGAAACTAGACATGAGAAATATATATGTATATATCATATATATATTATACATATATTTACTAAAAACTGACAAATCTAGTCTGTGGAGGTGGCAGCTGGGATAGAGGTTATCTTTGAGGAGGAGAGGAATCGAAAGGTGAGTGGAAGGAGGCTTTTAAGGTGCTAGTAATGTTTGTTTTCTTGCTCTGGGTAGAGATCACAGGAAAGTGTGTTCCACTTATGATTTTTATTATCTTTCAATAAAACAATGTGTGTTCTGGACCTATGTTACCCCTCAATAAAACAATTACTAGAGGAAAAAAAAAAGAAATTTACCCAACATCACTAATTATCAAGAAAATGGAAATCAAAACCACAATGAGGTATCACCTAATACCTGTTAGAATGGCTATCATAAAAAAAAAAAAACAGAGATAAGTTTTGGCCGGGTGTGGAGAAAAGGGAACCCCTGGGCTTTTTGGTGGGAATACAAATTGATACATCAAAAAACCCCATAAAATTAGTGGAGTTTCTAAAAAAAATTTAATTAATTAAAAATAGATCTACCAAATGATCCAACAATTCCACTCTTGGGTATGTATCCAAAGGAACTGAGATCAGGATCTCATAGAGATCTCTGTACTCCACGTTCAACCCAGCCTTATTCACAGTAGTCAAGATACGGAAACAGCCTAAGTGTCTGTCAACAGATGAACAGACGAAGAAGACCTGGAATGGAATATTACTCAGTCATGAGCTACAAGGAAATCCTGTCATTTGCAACAATGTGGATGGATCTTACTCTAAATGAGGTAAGTCAGACAGAGAAAAACAAATACTGTATGATCTCATTTGCGTGTGAAATCTATAAAACCCAAACTCAGGGAATAGTAGAGTCGAGGTTACAAGAAACTTTGGTAGAGGAAATGAGGAGATATTGGTCAGAGGGTACAAACTTCCAGTTACAAAAATCACAAACTCTGAGGACCTGATATACAGTATGGTATAGCTAATAATACTGTAGTATATAATTGAACATTGCTCAAAGTAAATTTTAAATGTTCTCACACAAAATAGAAATGGTCATTATGGGATAGCAAGGAAGGCTTAGTTAATGCTATGGTATAATCATTTTACAATACATAGCTTTGTCAAATCAACATTTTATACACAAACTTACACGATGTTATATGTCAATTCAGTTCAGTTCAGTCGCTCAGTCGTGTCCAACCAACTCTGTGACCCCATGGATTGCAGCACACCAGGCTTCCCTGTCCATCTCGAACACCCAGAGCTTGCTCAAACTTATGTCCATCGAGTCAGTGATGACATCCAACCATCTCATCCTCTGTTGTCCCCTTCTCCTTCTGTCTTAGGTCAATTACATCTCCATAAAACATGGGAGAAAAAGAAATCACAAGAAGACTTTTTTTCCCTGTCAGAAAATAGGTCAGACCAACTGAAATGTATTTTTATTTTTTCTATTTCAGTTTTTAAACTGAAAGAAAATATAGGCCTTTCTCACATTAAAACATACAGGCCTTCTGAGTATTTTGTGGGTTTAAAAAAATTATGTAACTAATGCCAGCTTAATATGGGGGAAAAAACTAGAATAGTATAAAAAGATAATAAGAACCATTCACGAAACACTACCATTTACGTTATGGAGTCCTGTGTTCATATTAGCCATGCTCACACAGTTAATATTTTAGAATCAGTGAACTTTATGATATTATCAGCCTATGAGTTTTATTTTAGCAGCAAGTCCATATTTGCTTCTTACAAATTAAGACCTTTTATTCCCTTATTATGACAAATTCAACTGGGAAATCCAAAATAAAATAATGTCAAGTTATGGTAAATAAAAGTTAATCCATATGAGGAAATTCCAACTTAGGTTTTCCCTTTTTTTTTTTTTTGCCATACCCCAAGTAGCATGTGGGTTCTTAGATCCCCCACCAGAGATCAGACCCACACCCCCTGCAGTGGAAGCTTGGTAACCACTGTACTGTCAGGGAATTTCCTTCTTCATTTTTATACCACATTTTCCTACTCTCTAGTCATGAGAGAACTCTGACTCTTTATTAAAGGCTTTTTACTATCATTAAAACTCCCTTTGCCTATAATTCATCCTGCAGGGTGGGGCTGACTTTTTTAATGTTTAAATAAACAGCTAAGGAATAGAATCCATTGTCTAGATTTTTAAGCTCCTGTGAGTTTGGCAGC